AAAAGAAAAATATTTATTACACATGTTTATTTTTCCTTTCAGAATAACAATGTAAAAAGCAGACCCAGGTGGGTATTGCATTATACTGCATAACAATCAGAAGGAGCAACCAAGCTTCCAGTGCCGTGGTTGCGGGGAGGGAACGCAACCTGCAACGGGTAACACTCAAGCCTCAAAGTTCGAACTCTGGTGCCCAATGCGCCACAAGTCAACCTAAACCGAGCGAGAACCGTGACTCCGAAGGATACCGAACCACCACCGCGCTGCTCAATGATTCCTCTCACGATGCCGTTGGGGAACGACCTGTGGGCGACTGAGAACCGGGCTCGGACTGGGGTGTCTGTCTGGGCTGCGGTGGAGAACGGGAGCGGTTGGACCGGGATGGCAGAGATGGTGAGGTTGTCGAAAAGGAGCGCGAGGCGGAGGGTCTCGTAGCAGACGGAGAGCGCGAAGTTAGGGTTACTGAGAACGGCGTTAACGTGGAACTTTGCCGTTAACTCGGCGGCAGTGTTGGTGGCGAGGGAGGTGACGATGAGGGATGTTAGTTGGAAGCGCGGGGCGTGGGGTGTGAAGGCCAGCCAGAGAAGCACGGCGAGGAGAGAGATGATGATGAAGTAGATTGCGGCGGAGAGGAGGTGGAGGTTGGAGGAGGTTTTGGTTGTGGCCATGGCTGAGGGTGTAGGGTTAGGAATTGTGAGGTGGTGTTTGGTGTTGGCATGGATATTTGAAAGAAGAAGGAGAAGGAGCGTTACGTTATGCGAACCAGAGTGGACAATGGAGAGTGTTAAGTCTCTGTCTTTAGCGGGAAATGAGGGTGTAGAATTTATAAGTGGAGTAATGGTACACACACATGACATTCATTTCGTATATATTTCATATATATAAAAGAAGTAAAGGATAACATCAATGAGTCTAAAAATATATTATTAATAATAAAATATTAAACATAAAATATTTCATTAAAAATTAAATTACAATATTTATTAAGGATGTAATAAAATAATTTGTAAAGTAAGAGTAGTCGCCTCATATTTATATAAAAAAAACACCTTAATATTCTTTTAAAATAACAACTCTCTTTATTAATATAATAATATATATTAAAATTTTAAATTAAAAATTAAGATAAATACAATTAATATAGTGTTATTTTGGGTTATAATATGAAGTTTCTTTAAACAGGGTTAACATATTACTATTTTACATATAAGGTCCATCAAAAAGAATATTTTTATTCTTAATTTTTTCAATAAATATTTGAAATGAAAAGTTCATGTAACAAATATTTTATATGTATACTTTTCAATTTTCTTATCCCTTTCTAATATTTAATAAAAAAAGATTAATTTGTTATTTTTCTAATAAAAATATAATATATTTATCTTTTTAATTGATTCATTCCAAATTGCTTTATATTTTAAATTAAAAAAAAAATATTTTATTTATAGTATATAAATGTTTAATTTATATTAATATATAAAGAAATTTCCTATACACCATTTATATTCATATTTTATTTTTAATAATATAATTGTTATTAACCATATTTTTAAGAAGTAATCATTATTTTAAAATTTGTTGAATAAAACTGTCACAACTTCTTTTTCTTTTTTATCATTATATTTATAAAGATATATTTAATTTTATATATCAATTTAATCCATTTATAAATATTAATAACTTATATTATAATATAAATATTTTAAAAATGTCATGCGGACACATACGTGTTTTCATGTGTTTATGCTAGTAACAAATAATGTATTTGTGTATATGTAATGGTTTAGATGTATTTACAAATTTATTTTCTTTTATATCTATAAAAAACATAATTAACCATATTTTTGTTCTATAACTTATCTTTTTCTGTAAATATAAACTTTTATCATCTTTACTCTCGTAAACATAAACTTAATTTTATCTCTAAATAAATCATAAATATTAGTTATTGTAAAAAAAATTGTAAATATATATATTATAAAAATTAATAAAGTATAATTACTATATATTAAAAGAAGACACATCCTTTAACTCTTTAATTGATAAGTTAATATTTTTACTTGAACAAATTAAGAAATTATTACTTTTATATAATAAATTATTTTATTATAATTGATGTAATATTGTTTATGATTGAGTATGCCTTTACTATATATTAGTGTGGATTAGGTCATGGACAATACAATGTAGATCCCGAACACGTCCTAAGTACATGCAATTAAACATATTTCGTTTGTATAGTATCTGACTAATATTAGGTGACTTGGTCGATTATATGTCGGTTTAACAGAACCAACACTTCGATCGACTACCCTGTAGTTATATGATCAAACACTCTTTATTGAAAAATCACTTAATTTATATTGTTACAACAAATCAATTGTATTGTATTCAACAACAATAAGAGTTCGAGCAAGTTAAAGCATATTGACACATGAAGTTTAATTGTTAAAGAAAAGATACAGAGTTGACATATTTTCTTAGAAAACTTAGAGACAAACTCTGTGATAACATATAATCTTACTAAGGAACTTTCACCCAAGGTCTTTTATAAACGAGTTGCTCATATGGATGTTTTGCTGTTTAATGAATATTTGACTTAGTGGGAGTTAGTCACTTTTATTTATTTAATGTTCTATGCTTATCTTTTATGTATACATACATTTTCTTTTGGACATATTTTGTTTCATAAATATATATTTATATGAGATATTGAGGATTATTATTTTCATTAAAGATTTTAATTGTTTATTAATTATTAATTTGATTTGGTGTATAATCTAACATTATTTTCTATTTTTATAATATTCTACAAAAACATTAACAAAACCCTAAGTAGAAAAATCATATAAAAACATAAAAAAATTCAATCTAATTAAACGAGAGATTCTGAATTCAATTCCCTTCATTAATAAATATTTGAGAGTCTTAAGAATGATGAAAAAGATGACACCTTTGAAACTTTTATGAATTATTTTTTATATTAGAAACCAAACTAGTTAATTAACTGCAATCAAACTAGAATATTAAAAAGAAAGATAGAAAATTGCAAACGAAGTAAAAAAGCAAAAATAATTAAATTTCTAATATCTTTCCACATGGCCCGAACTTTATCGAAACCATCGATCCCCTGATACAAGACAACATTACTAAATGATATTCTATACACAAGAAACTATTCTCTTTCTCCAAATTAATATAAAACACACGAGATTATATTTTTTGTTTTCAACACACTAATGGAATTCTCTACAGTTGCAGTTTCGTGATCATTGACCATCATAAAAAATTGTGAGAAATGTGATCGCAAATTTCCATGGTAGTTGAAGGTGAATTAAAAAAATTACATTGTTAGCAGGAAGAAACTCAATACCGAATTATATTTATTAATCTCACTCTAATTAATCCACCGGTAGTGTTGCAAAAAAGGGTATTTATAGATTATGATATATAGCATGCATGGGACGGGTTTTCCGTTGTTGTCCAATTCTCCAGAAGTGGTACTATTATCTTGAAACTTCACCTTCAACCCATCACAAATTGCAAGAAGCTCTTCACTCTTCGTGGTAAACGTATGAGACTTAAGAACGATCAAGGAAGACATCCTCAAACTGAAGGTAACGGAGTCTGTACCTCGTTCTTTGACCAAATCATCCATTAGTTTCGGTTCCAATCTGTTCCCTTGGTTGAACAAACCCCTTACGATCACCTCTGTTTGAGACTTCGTATTCAACGAAAGTCCGGGCGCAGCATCAGCCGCAACCACTCCATCCTTGTACGACATGAAAACCTTAAAGTCGGAGAAATAACCGACAAGTTTGTCGTTAGGGTTTTCAATGGAAATTTTGGTGTCAAATTGACCACCTAGGGTTGGTTGGGTTGTAAGGTTTGTAACAGACAAGGAAACAACCTTGTACTCAGGTAGTTGTGGATGTAGCGCCAAAGCTAGAAAGAGGCTCATGAGAAAGGAGATGGTGAGGAGGAGCAAGCAACACATGAAGAAGCTTCTACAGCAGCGAGCACAAGATGAAGAAGATCTTCTTTCGTAGGGGGGAGGGGGACCATAGTAAGGGGCAGGTGCAGGGTAATGGTAACCGGGAGGGTAAGCATTAGGATATGGGTGGGGGTATGCATGAGGATTCGGGTAATACATTGGCGGTGGTGGATGGGTGGGGTATGTGGTGGTTGGTGGAGGTGGTGGGTGGTCCATGGATTTTCCTGAGGGAAAGTTAGTGGAAAGCGGTGATGATTCTCTTTCTTTGTTGGAAGACCCCATATATGTAATCAATTACAGACGATGATGATGATGATAAAAAACTTTGACTTTGTTGTTGAAGTTGTAGTCAGGAATCTGGTTTGATTTGTCCTCTCTCCCAATGAGTGTGATGGTGAGTTAGGGAGAGAGAGAAAGAGGGAGAGGGAGAGGGAAAGAGAGGGTATGTGATGAAGGGAGATATAGGAAGTCTCTGTCACCCCAAGGAAGAAACAAGGAGAAAGGTGATGAATCCTAGGATAGACAAAATTAGATTGATAGGAATGTGTGATGATCGTAGGTTTGGTTGTTTGTGTTGCAATCTGTCTTAATTTAAAAACCAATAGATAATGTAAGATTAGATAAATGGATTATGTAAAGGAAGCCAAATGTAGTAAACTGTTCATGGTCAAGTAATTTTATGTTGCAAGGCTTTTTAACATGTTATTTCCTACATTAAATTAAGATAAACTGATACAAATGAGTAATGATTATATATATATATAT